TTGGACTACATAAAAAGGTCAAAGAAATTTCGAGTATATACAAGAAACAACATGAGACTCGCCTGAAGAATGATCAAGGAAACTACGTTTATACCCAGGAAGAACTAGCTAAAATCTGGGCGGACTATGCTTCGTCCCTCTTTGCTGACAATGGACCGAATCTCTCAACTTACACACGGAAAGTTTATCCGAACCTCCCATTATTCACGCCGAGGTGGAGTACACTATAAAAGTAGCAAAACTAAGCAAGGCCCCTGAACTAAATGGAATTACTACGGAAGCCATAAAAATATTGGAAGATGATAACATCGACATGCTGGTAACAATTTTCAATGCCCTATATAATACCTGCCACATTCCAACGGATTGGCTTTATTCTACCTTTATAATGATCCCTATACGCATAGCTTTGATGATAGCCAAACTTCGGAACGAACACGGCACTTGAAGAAGAAGAAGAATGATCCCTAAATCACAAAGAGCGACAAAATACAAAGACCACAGAATGATAAGTTTAATGAGCCACTTACTTAAGGTATTAAGGATTTGCATCCTTCATACAAGAATGGTCAGAAAGCTGGAAGATCTAAGCGGCGAGACACAATTTGATTTCAACAGCGGACTAGGTACACGTGAAGCAGCTTTCTGCTTAAATACGCCTGTAAAAAACTGTATGGATCAACGAAAGGATATAGTCATAACATTCCTCGATTATGAAAAAGCGTTTGACACCTTAAAACATGACGCAATGATAAAAATGCTACACAATGCTAACATTGACGAGAAAGATATAAAAGTTGTCCAGAATCTCTATCGGAACCAAAAAGCACGAGTGAGACTGAACAAATCAACCAACACAGAAGAATTTGAAATTTTAAGAGGGGTGCGTCAGGGGTGTATTTTGTCTCCTATGCTATTTGGAACAAACATGATATGCAGTTGAGGCCTTCGAAATGTGCACGTTGCGAAGAATGTTCGGCATACCATGGACTGATAGGGTGAGAAACGAGGTAGTCTTAAAAAAGGCAAATACTGAGAGAGAACTCATCAATTTGATCAAGGTACGAAAAATTGGATACCTCGGCCATATTCTGAGAGGAAAAAAATACGCAATCCCTCAACTAATCATCCGGGGGGAAATATTGAAGCCAAGAGAGGAGTAGGTTGCAAACAGATGTCGTGGCTACGAAACATAAAGAACTGGACAGGCATAAATAACACTGGCGATCTTTTGCATGCCGCAAAAGGCAGACGTCTGGCCTTAAGATAATTCGCCAACGCACTGTAGGTGCACAGCACTATAAGAAGAAGATTATTTAAATTCACTAACCGCTATTAAACCTTGTTAACTCTATGGCTGCTCTACTATGATAGAACTAAACTCACCCGCAATATGAATTTTATTATCCTCATTTAGGTCCAAGTAGGTTAAACTACGATTATAACATATTTATGCATTAATAGTGCATATTACGACTACGTACTATATTTTTTTGTAATATCTTCAACACGTTCAAAAGTTGGCGCTAAATGTATAAATATAAATTTTTATTACCGTATAAATCAATCTCTTTTGTACGTATTATTTATATAATACCCGATGTTATAATCTTAGGCTTCAGTAAAACGAGGTATTTTGTAGGTATAAAAACAGTTAAAAGCTAACCTTTATGTATACAACTGCATGTTTTATTACTAAATTGGCTTTTATTAACAAGTCGTGAAATATTTTATTGGTTTTGAAGTTACAAAAGTGCCCATAACAAATAATTTTTGGTCATAACAAATCAGAATTATCTCACACTTTCAATTATTCAGAAATATTTGCCATCTCGAGTAGAACATAGTTTTGACGGATCTATAGTGTATTTTTATGTATGAGAGAGTAATAAAACAATAAATTATGTATGCAAATTCCTAAACTGTTGATACGGGTGACTCAATGAAAAACAGATATTTGTCAACAAGTTTACAGAAGTATATAGGAAAACAATTTTAAATTGAGTATGACCACCAGGTATAAAGGTTGGAGCAGAATAGAATACAATACTTGTGAGGGTTACTAATCCCTAAATAAGGTTGCCAGTGTCGGAGTGATGGAGGTTAACAGGTACTAATGAATTTGCAAGAAATGTAAGATGTTTATTTTATTGGTTATATATAACCAATAAAAGTTTAATAAGTACCTACCTATTTGCAAAATAAAGTTTAATTCTTTAGATAAAATAAAACGTTTTATTTTATCTGAAATGAGTGCATTCCACGAAGTAAGGGTTTCAACAATCAAACATTTAATTCTTTAATTCCAGGAATCTACGACAGTAATTGACTAGATAATTACCTTCTAAACTTATTCCACAGAAAATGTGATAGTGGGTTTTTCCATTTTGTAGGAAGGTCCAAGTGGCGTATTCAAAATTCTTAACAGTTCACTAAAAGTAGGTACTTCAGTTGCAAGGTGCAGTTTATTGTGTATACTAGTGTTATGGAAAATTTGGAAGTGCCGTGTAAACGCCGAAAAATTGGTCCTTTAACAGTTAATGAAAAAACATTAATATTTAATTGTTTTAAATCATTTACAGACAAACGTTTATGTGAAAGTGTTGATGAGACCGTTGAGTTAGTTAGCAGTACACTTGGTGTTGGGAAATCTACGATTTACAGAGTTATTAAAGAAGAGAAATGTGGTAGTTTTCAAATGCCACGTAATGCTCCAGGGAAACCAAAATTTCAAATAGAATATCATTTTAAAGAAGGACTTCGACGGAAAGTGCATGAATTCTTCTTTAGACAAGAATTTCCAACATTGGATAAAGTTCTTGTCTCAGTTCGAGATGATAAGGATTACCCAGAAATGAGTCGAAGTACGTTATGGAAACTTTTAAAAGAAATAGGCTTCCGCTGGAAAAAGAATCCCAGAAAGTCTATTTTATTAGAAAGAAGCGATATTGTCATATGGAGAAGACATTTTCTAAGAACCATAAAGGAAATGAGAAACCAAAAAAGAAAAATATTTTATCTTGATGAAACATGGATCAACGAGGGTCATACACCAAATAAATTTTGGCAGGATGAAACTGTTACAAGTCAAAGGCACGCTTTTGTAAATAACTTATCTACTGGTTTAAACCCACCATCAGGAAAGGGACACAGGCTGATAATAGTACACATTGGCAGTTCAGACGGTTTTGTTGAAGGTGGTTTATTAACTTTTGAATCAACTCGTACCGGTGACTACCATGAAGACATGAACGCTGATGTCTTTCAAGAATGGTTCGAACAAATGATAGATCTTCTTCCTAAGAACTGTGTAATAGTAATGGATAATGCAAGTTATCACTCCAGACTTATAGAAGGACTGCCCACAACCAAGTGGTTAAAAAAAGACTTGCAGAATTGGCTGAGTTCAAAAAATATTACGTACCATCCCGGATCTATAAGAAAGGAACTTTATTCGTTGTGTGCCCTTCATAAAGAAAAATTTAAAAAATACGAAATTGATGAAATTGCCAAAAATCGTGGAATGACAGTACTTAGATCCCCACCATATCATTGTGAATTAAACCCGATTGAACTGGTATGGGCACAGATAAAGAGTGAAGTTTCAAGAAAAAATACCACTTTTAAAATTCATGATGTTAAACAGTTGTTTTTGGAGGCCGTAAATAATGTAAAACCTGAAAACTGGGAAAAGGCAGTAAATCACACTATTAAAGAAGAGGAAAAAATGTGGAAGCTGGACAATATTACTGATAAAATGATCGAGCCAGTTATTATAAATCTTGGTTCTGAAAGTTCATCTTCTGAATCTGATTTGGATTTGTAACAAGTAGCTGTAAAGTTTTATATTAATATTTTTATTCATCTATTTAACATACCTTAGACGGTTTTAAAAACTCTTTTTCTCTTTTGTAATTTTTAAAAATTAAAAAAAATGTGAATTTTTTAAAACCCTTTTTAATGTAGGCCAGTCAGTTCTAATATAGTGTGTGATAAAAGAGGTCACTTTTGTTTACATACACATAACACTTAACACTGAAATAATTCATTTATTTTTTACAATTATTCAAAGTAATTTTTCAATTAATCTTGAGCACGCCCATGGAGTGGTCGGAGGTACCAGTTAAAATTATGCTAATTACTCTCTCGTTCATAAAAATAAACTATAGTTTTGTCATCTCGAGTAGAACGTAAAAAATACTTGTCAACCTAGACTGTACTGTACTGTATGGGTGCGAAGCGTGGGAGCTAAAAAAATATCTAGAGCATCGCTTATTTTTCTTATTGGTTGATTTCTGGAGACGATATGCCAAAAATTCAAAACTGGAATAAATATCCGACCAAATTCAATCAAACACGACCAAATACGAGAGTCTCAACTACTATTATGCGAGAAGTTGCACGCATACAACTTATTTGTTTGGTTATATTTAAAAAATGAGTGAGGCGACTTAAACAAATAATAAAATGGGTACCAGGTTAAAGAAGAAAAAAAGAAAACTAAAGCTGGCTGGAGATTGGAATGATAAGCAAGAATATACCTGACCAGGGAGAATCCCAGGTAGTGGGTTTTGAAACGGAGAGCAAAAGGAATAAGTACAACTTATAGAATTCATAGACGTTCAACGGTAAGCTAGAGTAATAAAATTATTGTCTTTTATACTTGTCTAATACCAAATATAATTAGAATTATTTACTTATTTCTAATTACATATCAGAAAATTTTTACTTGCATAATTATTCATGGACTTTTAATAAATTAGTCTGGTTGTGATTTAAAATTTTTATAAATATACATATATAAAAAGTTACATATATAAATATGAAAAATAAAATATATGCAAAAAAGATTATTACTTTATAGTAAATAATACTGTTAGAACCAATTATTTAAATTGCAGTGTAGATACTTCAACAAAATTGGTTTCAGTCTTGCAGTTAGGTTTTCAGCAGAGTCAAGGCTATTGCGTGAATAATAGCTACTTCAAGTAGTATAGAGAGTCATACTACTTTATAATCTTTCTTCAACAATGCTGCTGCCAGGGAGTGTAACCGATAAATTCCACGGGACATTTCCGCAAATTTTGGCAGCAGTGTCAGGTTTGTATTGATAATAAATAAGTAAAGAAAATAATTAAATTGTGTAACTAATGTGGTAAATGTGAATAAGTATAAAAGTGATACAATATTTTCGGGTAAGTCTTTACTATTAAATTTTTTATGGAAGTGTTGAAAGTAGGTACCCACTTTCACAGGGATTTTTAAATGATAAATTTTTTCTGCTTACCATATTTATTCGTGGCATTCAAAATTAAATTTTATTTATGTTAATGCATCGATGTGTTTTAATTTTATACTTTTAAACAATTAATTTCTTAAGATCTTATGCATTTTGATTTACCTCGCATGTAGTAATTAAATATGATAACATATTAGAAGAAATGCATAATATATTAGAAAAATGGAAGTTTGGAAGTCAGTAAGTTGCCATTTTCAGTTTAATTTTTTTTTCGTATAACTCTTAAAAAATATTTACGCTTAAATTAACTTAACCTAAACCTGCGTATTGAGGCACTTTAATATTGTTTTAATTATCTTGAAATTTTACCACAAATTTTATTAAAGATCTTAAAATGAATCCGTCACGTTCAAAAACAATAGATGTCACATTATGTAAATTTTGCAGGAAGCATAAAAATCTTTCCATTAATAGTTGGGTATTTTCAGAAAATACTATATTTTTTTATGCCATACTAGTTTATTATTGTGATTGCTGAGTTTCCAACTACGTAATAGTGTACTTTATGCTCGCGTGGGCATAAAGTGTACTTTATGGCCCACACGGACGTAAAGTGTACTTTATGGCCCATACGGGCGTAAAGATACAAACAAAAAGACGTATTCTTATTCGTATTCCTTGTCGTAGGCATCTCTAGACTTATGTGGTAGTAACTTTTGCGTTGCTTTTTCCACTTTTTTTTAAAATTTGGTTAGGGATCTCAAAAATATCTTGCATTTTCACGGTTTGAGTTTGACACGTTTAACAGTATTTCCGTAGCGTAACAACATAACACGGACGATAGAATTTCTACTAGTAAATATATTGTCAAAATAAAATTGAATTTTCGGATTTTTTAGAACCTATTTATTTGTAGATGCAATAACGAACTAGTATCATATCAAAGTTTATATGCACCGCTGGTATTAATAGATGTGTATATGCCCTTGGGCGACTTACAAATCCTCGGGCTAACATCGTCGCCCTCTGGCATAAGCATCTATTTAATACCCTTGGTACATATATAACTATTAAAAGTATTATGGATTATAAATGCATGTTTCTGGAAGAAAAAAAAAAGACTAAATGCTACTTAATTTCTTTGATATTAGGATATAAGAATAATTTTTAATAGTTGTACTAAAACTTTCTTTATTTAAAGCAAGAAACAGTCAAAATTATGTATATAATAGGTATGTATGTATTTTACATTGTCAAAAAACTATACAATATTTTTCATGTGTTTTAAACTCATAAACTTACACGTCCATATATGATACTGAAACAAACAAAGCATTATAAATCATGAACTCACAACGCATCTGCATCTGAATTAGTTGTAGGCCAGTTGCACAAATCATTATAAAATATTGCAAAGATAATCATCTTTATAATTTCAATAATTTGTTTCACTTATTGGAATTCTGTCTAATGAATATGCAGGGTTTTGCAGCTTTGGTTAGTTATTATTTTTACTGATTTTACCTTTTGTGCCATATAGGCCACCAACTTTTATAATCCCGAATTCCCTGGATATGTTTTTATATTTTCCACATTCTGCCTATAATAAAAGCAAATACCAAGAAATCAGTTTGATTTTCTGCAGAGCTACTCAATGACATTTATTTTTCTATAAAATTCCTGTACCCTCCTTTTATGAATTTGAAGTTCTACCTTAACTGCAGGTTTTGCGTTTACGTTCAGAGCATGATTAAATCACTTTTGAATTAGCTCTTCGCACTTGCTAGACACACACACACACACACACACACACACACCGAATTGTAGTTGACCAACAGACAAGCAGGTGTTCTGAAGATATTTTAATGCTTCTTGTACCTTCCATACGCCCCCTCATAATATCCTTGGGCGCTTTAGATATTTTTTTCAAATTGCACAATCGGCGAATTCATTCCATACGAATACCATGTAAACTAGTGAATACTTTTTTACAAACTTAATGTCGCACACCATACACTAAGCATTACACACAAAAAGGTATGATGTCGTTATTGTACATTATTTAAATTATTAGTGTTTTTGCGTGATCGCCGTCTTACATCTGGTTTAATATCAATTTGTCCTTGAACTAAGGGTTCTTGTTCAATTTTGGTATCCAGTTTGCTCATCAAGTACAATCAGATCACCATGGCAAGCACAAGCAACACAAATCATGCTAATATGAAAAATAATAAACTAGCCTGCAGTTGGTACCAGTTTTGTTTTGGAACTAACTTTTTAAGATGGTTAGTGCTTCTGAATTTCTAATTCCTGTTACTCTTTTCAGTGCTACGACGTTGTCACACTCTATAATACTTTTCGCCATGTTGCAAACAGAACAATATTATACGTATACATTGGGTTAAAACACAACCCGTTCACTATAAAAACTACACAAGTAAATGACATGCGTTGTTTTCGAACTGACCGAAAAACATACTGACCTGCAATGCACTCTTTTAAACAGTAAACAGTTTTTGCACGGAATGGTTCATTTCAGTCTTAAAATCATCAAGGCGCCGGAAAGTCATTTTACCCCAAATATGGACTTATGTTGTTTTGCGAAATGACGGATTTAAATATAAAAAATATATTAAACAACAAATATCAGTAGACCAGAATATTATCATTCCATCTTTCTGTGGACGACCTGTGATTCTTGTTCCAAGTAACTATTCTAATTACTCTGTTCTCTGCCATTCGACTGTTATGGCCCGTCTCTTTTTCTTTCTGGCTCCCATGCATTAATGATTTTTATTCTGTATTAATCTCTGAACTCCTTGTTTTATCTATTAGTGTACTTTCGGTTATTCTTCTTAGAATTCCCGTTTCATTTGTTTTTAAATATCTTATGATCGTGCTTATGTCTGATCTTGTTTCTGTTATATAGTCATGGTAGGTCAGATTACAGATGTGTATATTTGCGCTTTTGTTTGTGTTTTTAAGTGTATATTTCTCCGTATTGTGTCATTAAGGCAATCTGATCCTCGGCTTTCATTTGCCACTTGTTCCTTCTTCAATTTTATTCTCATTTGATAAGTTGATTCCCTTCTTTTTCTTCACGTACCATATCAGAATTATCTGATGCTGTGTACCACCATTGTGAAAACTTCTCGATCTTCTGTCACATGACATAATTGTCCTGCATTTGACATCCAAGTCCATTGGCGAATTTTCTTTAATCAAAAAATCTGTTTTCTGCTTACACCTCTAGGGCCTTCCATTTTGCCTTTAAGGATTTCCAGATAAAAAATCTTTTGGTGTTTAACAGTCTTTAGCAATTTTTTTTGTAGACCCTCCCTAGAACTTCTTCATTAGTTTTTTTTTGTTGACTAAGGTATCTTCAGCATCCGTCTATGAATCCACCCAATGCTTCAATTCTGTGCATACTTGATATTTTTAGTGTCCACACTTCTGCTTCATACAAAAGTATATACTAAATACAGCACTTTACCATTCTTTGTCTTAGTTTTAAACTGAGATGATTATTGCACAGAAATGTCTTCATTTTTATAAACGTAGTTTTAGTCATAGCTATACTTCTTTTTATTTCTATGTCTGAATCTAGATGGTCCATTATGACAGTTACCAAATATGTAATTTTGTGAACTTTTTAAACTTCGACTTTAACTGAAGCTCTCTGGATGTGAGATTGAGTTTATTTAAATGCCCTTCCTCACCTACTTCTTGAATTCGATCAAGCAGAATTTGGAGACTTTTAATATTTTCTGACAGAATTACTGTATCGTCCGCGTATCTAATGACATTAAGTAGTTCCCAGTTGCTTTTGATTTCATATCTTTGTCTCCCAAATTCCTTTTTAAATAGCTGGTTTATTCTTCATTACTTGTTCTATCATTTGCTTTTCAAACTTAAGTCTGAAGCTTACTGCTTCGTTTGATATTACTTAGCTTTTTATTGTAGATGATGAAATGTTCATGTTAAATTCATTGGTTTTGGTATTGAACTGGTGTGGTATTCGTTGTAAATGGTCTTTATTCTGTGCCATCAAAACTTCATCGTCGGCACAGCATATTATCTTTATTTTTTTGTTTGCCATCTGGTATCATTTTTTGTTTTTACTTGTTTTACAATATATATATATATATATATATATATATATACATATATATACATATACCTATATATATATATATATATATATATATATATATATATATATATATATATGTATATATATATATATATATATGTATATATATATATATATATATATATATATATATATATATATATATATATATATATATATGTATATATTTATATATACATATATAAACTTTGATCAGTAAAAGGCAAATATCGAGCACAGTTTAATTAATTTAATCTTGCCCAAGTACTTTCGCTCCCTATGGGCATTTCGTCAATTGTGGCTATCCGACAAGAATAAAATATTATAAACATAAAATGGTACATCACACTACATTACACAAGGACAAACACATTAAAATTATTAAAAATACGCGAAGCTACATTGTGTGCGGAAGCCGGAGACAGAATAGAAGAAAATAGAATCAAAAAATCTTGCTGAAACCGTTGAACAAGATAAAAACGATACTCGCAATAACGAAGAACAATTAGATTTTTCATTTAGCGACAGCGTAGCGGACCCGGATTATACTCAAGATTAGGATTATTATCAGATTTAGACGACGACATGCCACAACCAACTAAGATACAAGATAAGAAATTACCTATAAAACGAAAGTTACAACCTGATGAATGGATTAGAAATAAGGCGTACCTTTAAAAAATAGTGATGTAACTAGTCATGATGAGGGCAATTTTTTTTATAATACCT